AGAGACTTTATGCACACCAACTGAAAAGAAAGACTGTATTTTTCCTGCTCTCAATCACTCCAGAAACACATGTGTACACACACATGCATATGTGTTTACATACGTATGTGTATATATATATACTAAAAAAACCCCTGCCTAGTCTTTTATAGCGGAAAGCATTTTCCAGGGGATCAAGTATGCCTATATGGAATATGTCTATAAACAGTAGCTCTATTTCTTGTTAGAAATCAAGATATCTTTCACCACCTTTTACCTGGTGGTGTTCACTTGTAATTCTTGATGGTGAAGAGTTACTCCACCAAGAACAAAAAACTTCAAAGCAAGTAAATGGTCTGTTCAAATTTGCAAACTTGCTCAAGCAAGTCTTCTTCAGTGAATTATAATAAAGAAATAAAATGCTTCCAAAATAAAGGAATATGGCTGTCAAAAAATACTTTTGATGGAACTTTTTTTAGAGTTTAAATGCACAGTGCCCTCTTTATTTGTCCGAACACTGAGATGTTCTGCATCGAAGCAAACTCCAAACAGAACCTAGGTCTAGCTATTCATTTAAAATAATCTGCCTGTAGTATGAGCAGGATTAACTGCTCCATGGAATAACATGTTTAAAATTCTCTGCTCAGAACAATATAGTTAAGGCACAGCAGACAACATAGTGACTTCACCATCTGAGGCTTGAATATCTCAGCCATTATCATAAACAGCAGGAACGGATAATGCTGTGGCTGATGCAGACTCTTCATGCAATTTAAGTTTCTGCAAGACATGAGATCCAGAATGAGTCTCTGTGGAGAGAATTTTCATCCTCCTTGCACATCCATTGACACAGCACCAAAAATCATCTTTCCCGCTGCAGCCACCTGTTAATGGACATGCCCCAAAACCTGGCTTCGAGCTCTACATTTGGAGCAAAGCATACATCACCTGTAATAAACACCACTTTTCCCAAGCTATTCTTCTCCAGGTATTTCTTCTAAATTATTCTATCATAAAAAAATACAATATTAGTCTTTTTAAAATATGAATCAATTTACATTGTCATTATTTGCAGTTTGTGCCATAAAACACATAGTTCTACTGAAAAATCTTAGTGAATGTTTGAAGGCAAGACATCTGAATTTCTTGCTGGACACAATTATAAACAATACTTCTTTATATTTCAGAAATCTTTTTTGCAGAGACTATCAGTACATATTTTCCAGGTTTTTTATTCTGTTTTGCATGAACTGATCATAGAATAGGTTGTCATGCTTTAGAGTACAACAGCATGCATTTTCTAGTTTTTAATTTTAATAGCAGCTGTAAGAGACTAAGCTACAGAGGAGCTACACATATGTATGTGGGGTGTGTATGTGTAAACTTGCTGAAGATGCTAAGTAAATGTTTTAGCAAGTACACCTTTTATGTATGCAGGCAGACATAAATAGATATATCCAGTGTAAAATCTTTAACACTCTGCCAAAAGATTTTCAAAATGCAGGAGCTTCAGTCCTCTTTTACCAACGCAGGCACCTCATAAGATGGGAGCCACTGGGCTGGGTGAGGCTGAAGCTCTTCCAAGGGAGGGAGCATCTTCTAGCAGATGACTAGAGAAATAAAAAGCATAGGGCTGTTACTCCCCCCTAGTATACCTTCCCATCCTCCGGGTTTCTTCTGCCTGTGTTTTTAATAGCCCCTGATGATTTTGCCCCTAATAGTTTTAACAGATCTTTAACAGTAATTAAAGGCTGTGGAAACTGTGCCACAGTTTAATGGTGTGTTATATGGGAAACCGTGACCTTTAGGTGGCTCAGGAGAAACCTGCTATCATTCCTTGTCCCCTTGTGGTTCTGGTAAGGGGACAGTACAATACTGCCTGCTACTGATTTTCTCCCTGCCACTTATGATTTTACAGACACCATATCTCCTTTCAGGCTGAAGAGACTTAGTCCATTCAATAATTTGCAAAAGGATATTTTTCTGTGCTTGTGGCCATCTTGCCACTTCACTCTGTATACTTACTGCTTGAGATAAGGCAGGGCCAGTTCTGCACCCACCTAGAACTCAAAATGATGATACATGCTGGCTTTATGCACTGACATGTTAATAACTTACACGCTGCTTTTTATTCCTTGACCACAAATCAGCTTGGGTTTTATTGCTCTTGGGCATCTGAAAAATTACATAGAACTATGTATTGTAACTCCAGCATTAGCCTCCTGAATGCTGATAAATTGTTGCAGTCTTCAGAGGTGTTGTATACCGAAGTAAACTTCTCAGAAAGAGAACTGAGAAGTGAACGTTTAAGGTATGAGGCTACCAGCTCTTCAAGAGCTTTTAATTGCTTATGTTGTTCAATTAGCATTGACTGTTTGGCCATAAAGCAACAGGTAATTAAAGAAAAATTACATTTGACTACAGAAACAGCTTTTTTCTACTGATAAGTCAGATGTATAGCTTTTGTCCTTTGCACTCCTTGCTCTTTTCAAGTTTCTTAACTCCATTAGTGAACTTAGGCTGAAGTAAAATGAAGACTCACAAAGAATGTATTTTCCCACAAGAAATTTGCCACGGGTCCACAGCAAAAACATCCAGTAAATTTGTTCTTAGAATATTATACTTCACATGGGCCACATCTGTGCACGCTGACAAAGCTTCCCTCACTTTCTCATAAATTTATTTCCTTAAAATCCTTTTTCCGATCTATCACATTTAGTTAATTTCTTGAAACTGGATCTTGAATTCTGAGAGAAAGTGAATTTCAGATTTGCGTAAATTAACCTCTGAAACGGATGACTTCAAGTGTCGATCAAATCATGTACGAGCTTGACTTCAAGTGCTAGTGAAATCGTGTATGAGTTAGAAATAACATTTAATTCTTGTCTTCCCGCTCTAAATAAATGACATAATCCTGCCTTGTTCAGCTGCATTTGTTGCTTTGGTTTGCATCACATACTTTTATTTATTTTGCATAGCTATACATGGATACAAATACTGGGGCTGTAGATTTTTTTTGTTCTAAGCCTTCATTTAAATGTTATCTCTGAAATACAATTTCCATAGGGAGAACAAAATAGAGAGTAAAAAAATTTTCCAGTAGCTCTGCAGCAAGAATTGTCTGCAGTTCTGCATTGCTTATCATCTGGCTAGGCAAAAAAATATCAACAGATATATTGCATGCATGCACAAGAAATAAAATGAAAAAAATTTACTTTTAAGCTTTCCTAGCTGCATATTGTACATAGGGCGTTTCACTCTGTAACTTTAGTAAGAAGCTTACTGCATTCCATTGTATGCTATATTGCAACAAATGAAACTCAAATTCAGGTGCAATCTTGTTAGCCCAAGCTCCAACTGATTTATGTAATGAACACTGTGCTTGGGTAACAAACATTTTTTTCCTGTGGTAAACATATTTTTTTCCTTAGACTCTCAGCACTGTTGTTTCTGTGGTCAGTCTGTCTGCAATATTACCCGTCTATCTTAACTCCTAGGTGCTGTAATGCTCCTGTCTCTGTGGTAGTGAGATGCCAGATAAGAAGGGAAATTTGTGGCTTGTGAAGAGCATCACTTGTGGAGGATACAAGTTTTGTTCGAGATGCCAAATTGATAGCACTTGAGAGAAGCTTTCAAAATTCAAAGAAAAGGTGCAGCGTAGAGACCTAAAAGTGAAGATTTCAATATCATGCTTTGGAAACATGTCACGAAAGAAACAGCTTGAGTGCTAGAATAGTAGATCAGCCTCTTCTGAATTCAGCCTCTGACATTTTTGCTAAGAACTTTCAGGGAACTTGTCATTCTCCACTAATTCAGTCATATAACCACTTCTTCAGCAGGTCCATATTCCTTCTCTGCATGATGCAAATGAAACTCATTCTTTTTAAGTCAAAAAGCTATCAAATACAGTTTTTACAAATGAAAATTGAATTGGCTGACATTTGAAGAGAATGAGCATTTCCCATAAAAACTGAAAATATCCCAAGAGAATAATCTGATCGTTTTGCCAAAAAGTGGTGTCGCAACTTTTGAATTTAAATAGTGGCAGCCAGGGGAAAAATCTAGCATTGTTTTTACACAGACAGAAGTTTGGGAACTCACTTGTGTATTGGTTAACCCATAGTAGTGGAAACAACATCTTAATATACACTGTACAGTGCTAGGATTTTTTATTTTCACCACAAACCTATGCCCTTAATTCATATGCTGACTTTTGTTTGACAGAAGAAGATGGTATCTTTAATAATCACTAACTTTACAAGGTCTTATATAATTGCATCCAAGCTGCATTCATAAGTGATACAATAAAAATTCTTCTTAACTTTAATTATTGTTATTTTGTTGGAAGTAATAACAGGATCTCCTGGGATTAATTTGACATGGTACAAATGCCAAGTAAAAAGACATTTAATTTTTCAAATGTTAATTATTTTTATGTGCCCTTTTAGAGCAGGGCTCTAGGTGTTGTCAGAACAGCAGATTAAGCTTTGAATTAAAGGCTAAATCTGCACCAGGCCTCAGTGTGCCATGTCCATACCCAGCTCTGATGCCCCTGGCATGCAGTGAAATCCCCAGGTCTTAGGAAAAGGCAGGTGCTCTTTGCACCATCTGTTGGGTGCCCACATCATCAAAATTCAGTGTGGAGATCAGGGAGGTGCTCTGGGACATCAGGGGTGTACCACAGCTGTTCTTTAAGCCACGTAGGTTTAAATTGTGTGGTGACAGGACAAGGAGTAATGGCTTTAAACTAAGGGAGAGTAGATTTAGACCAGACATGAGGAAGAAATTTTTTCCTATGAGTGTGGTGAAACACTGGCACAGATTTGCTGGAGAGGTAGTGGAGGCCCCATGCCTGGAACCATTCAAGGCCGGGTTGGACGGGGTTCTGAGCAACCTGGTGTGGTTGAAGATGTCCCTGCTCACTACTGGGGGGTTGGGCTAGACGACCTCTAAAAGCCCCTTTGAACCCAACGCATTCTATGATTCTGTGATTCTAAATCTTCTCATTACTTGCCCTTCAGGTGTTCCAGGGAAATTTTGACAACGACACACACCGTAAGAACGTCATCGACCCTCCAATCTATGCCCGGCACCTCCGCATCCTCCCGTGGTCATGGTATGGCAGAATCACCCTGCGGTCGGAGCTGCTGGGCTGCACAGCAGAAGACTGAGGAGGATCTCTGTCAGGCATCGCAGCTCTCGGTGTAACTAGAAGTCCCTCCATAGAAGAAACTGTGCAAAGCCTGTAGGATACTGAGTGGGTTTTTCATGAACAAGTGCTCATTTTATGGTAGGCCGCTAACTGTCTTTCACAAGGAGGTCTAAGCCTGCCCTTTAAATGATCCAATCCGATTTTGTCCTTGAAATCTGTTAGTGTCATCCCTTCTGCTGTGGAATTATCTTTCTATTTTTCCTTTGAGTTGTTCACACTAGTTGAAATGTGTTAGGGAGAAACAGCAGCATCCTTTTTACAAGGGAAGAGAAATAGCATGACAAAGCTCATTTGCAGCTTTAGAAACATTGGGCTGACGAGTTCTCCATAAATCATACTGTCATCTTACTTGCAAAAAGTGATACTGCAGCTTTTAGCAATAAGTTTACTTGGGGATGACTGCATTATAGTAATTGTGCCTATCAAACACTGTCAGTATTTTTGACATATATTTTGGAAGATACTCTGTGGTACTGCAAAACATAGTACCTGTGATGTTACAAGCTACCTTTCATCACTTTCATCTGAACAGCAGAGTTCATGCACCTAAAGGATTTTCCTAACTAACCCAATTTTCCTTCTATATTTTGCATGCTGTAGACATGACCTCCATCTTTTCTGTTTAGTATCACCACTAATGTTATTTTCCTTGAAAGAGGTGACCTGTTTGCGTATGGAACAAAATCTGCTATGAGTATATTATGAAGTTAATGAATTTGCCAAAGTTTATTAGTTCTGCTTGAGATGCGCTTTTTCAAGGAGGCTGAGGTGAGTCGCCAGGTGCTTGTGGTATCTCATCTTCAGTACCCACATAGGTAAAGGCACACAAGCGCATCAGAAATCTGGAGCCCGTTTTGTGACTTGCCCAGGGGTGAGCACACATCTCTAGACAGAGCTGCGTGCCCAATTACTTCTCACAGAAACCTCCTTAATTTCTGTGAGGAGGTAAATGCGGGGTTAAGAAATTGGGTGCTAGAAGACACACAGGAGAAATGACACCCTCACTGCCAGGAAACCCTCTCAGCAGGCTCTTCTTATGATGGCGGTCACAGCCTTCCTCCCAGGCGTGAAGGCAAGAGGTGTCATAGGAGTCCATCATCACTCCGAACGATGTCTTTCCAGACATATGCCAGTAAGCCACAAGGAGGCTGATTTTTATCATGCTTCATCTACAGACATGCTTCATACACAACATGATAGCCAGCGAGGACTCCATTTTAAAAAGTAGGTTTTAGGAGGTAAAGTGGAGCAGTAGGGGGGACATTCTCCCCCTTGCCTCAGTTTGCCTTGATGATGGAGCTGATACCAACCTTTGTAGAGCACTCCAAGTTCCCTTGGGATAAAGTGCTCCATGACTGTGTTAGAGTAGCACTTAAGTCTAAAAAAATCCTGGGACGAGGATCAAGGGCCCATTTTATGTTACCTGAACAGCATTTGGCATTACAGCCACCCTTTTAATTTCATAACATGCTGATGTGGAGAGTGATAAGTAGATAGATAGACAGATAGATAGATACAGCTGCATGATCTAGCAAATGTCACTAAACTTGTTTTTTTGTCACCATTACATTCTCACCAAAACACTGGAGTATGAACCTGGGCACTGCTTCCCAGGCAAACAGCTAGCTGGCCCACATTCTGCAAAGGGCAAAGTTTTCTTTGAAACAAAATGGTTTGGATTTCAAAAATCTGCATTTAATCACACATTCTCCACCATGGACAAAGTATGTTATCCATTGAACTGTGAAAGACTCTAGATTAGCAGCCAGGAATTTTACATACAAGAATTGGGGATATATTGGTGGCGGTTTTCTGATAGTGTCACTTAAACTGTCACATTTTAACAAACAGAACACCCTGCCTCTATAAAATTACTTACTCTTTAAATTGTATTTATACAAGTATTTATTTTATAAGGCTTAGACATTTAAAGACTTCTAAAGAAGAGTCTTGTAAAGGTAAAAGTATGTGTAAGAAATGTTGAGGTCCTGTGCAACACTGCTAACTTTGTTCTTTATTTTTTACTTTGTGCTGCATAACAAAAGCCACTAGACTGTTACTGTCTTGTCTGTAACTGTGTTAACAGCATTCCTTAATAATGTATATATGGAGTGGTCTTCAAGCATAGTGAGCGATTTTAAAGAGAAAGTCAATCATGATGGTACTTCTAAAGAGCAAAAATAATCTGAATAATGGAGGATAAGGGTATTGCTAAATTACCTATGGCCCATGTTTTGCACTTTATGCGCTACACACAAAAAAAACCCTAAATAAAAAGTAATATTTCTGTCTTTTGGGCACACACAATATTTAAAGAAGTCCAAAAACATTTTACTTTTGTGGGAGAGCAATTGACCCTGAGTTTAATTACAGATGTGAAGAATAGCATGTAGCTATTTCACTAGTTGACTGCACCCAAAAAATGGAAGGCCATTTCAGAAAATTAGGCTCCCTAGTTTACCAACTTGTTTTAGTGTTCTTTTGAAAAATTTGTTCTGTGTTCCTAAATGATTTTTTCATGTTATTAATCATTTGCAACTTGAATTTTGGTGTTGAATTAATCTTTCTTGGTTTAGTAATTTAATTGTTATCCATTCATCTGCATATAAAAATAGTGTTGTCATGATACCTAATATAGTAATTTTATTTTGTATTGATTTAGAGTTGAGCATTTTCATCCTATGTCCTGTGTCAGCTTTCACCTGCCAGCATTCTTCACAACCTGCAAAGAAAGCTCCATAGGTTGTGACAACACTCTGTGATAATTTACAGAAGAATAGAACTGATGCCCTTACAACATCAACCAACATACTGGGGCTTTTTCTAATGAAATTATTCCTTAGCTACCAAGAAGCTTTCTTTAAATGGCACTGTGCAGCCATAGTACCAAATTCTGTTCCCAGTGTCACCAGCAGAAGTCAGAAGTAACTCTTGATTTCTGTGGAATACTTCAGATTTAACAAAAAAGGTGAGAATCAGATTATGGTCTAGAAATAAACTTTTTATTTTTTTTGTCTTGGTGAACACTTTTCACATAAGTGACAAGTTACAAATTAACATGACTGTACTATCCCAGTGAAAGCAACTGGCATCCCAAAACCAAAAATAAGTGCAGGGCACGGTATGTCCCTTTCAGGGGGGATAGAGAAACACTCTGAAATGATCCTTGACTTTTGTATTAGTTGTAACAAAGGTAAACAACACTGAAAATGTTCTCCTAATTAAATTTCACCCTGAACCCGTTAAGTATTTATAGTCAGACTTCACCTTTCAATAGCTCTTTAATGTGCTATGTTCATAGCCTAGGAAATAAAGCACTCGCACGAGGCTCTGTTTTATCTGTATTCTGTTAAGGGCTTATCATATTAACTGGCTCTGCTTTTGAGGTTGACTTTCTCTTTTGGAATGGCTGCATACAAATTAGTGTCAGTTTTGAAGACTAAGGATACTAAATGAGTGTATCTTTGCTATACAACAAGTATGAACTATACTATTCAGTGCTGGCTTCTGATGTGTCAGTAAGTACAGAAGTATCTTGGACACAATGACCTTTGCAACCTTTCAAGCTGTGTAATATTCAAATGGTTTTGTATATACTTAAATCATGTAGAACGATGTAAAACCAGTATGACCTTGTCTAGTCTTCAAACTTAACAATAAAACTTTTGAAAAATGAGCTCATTTTTGAAGGACTTATACTGCAATACCTTGAAGAAGATATAACTTATCTCAGCCTCACTGGCAGCAAATGCAGAGCAGAGATATGATGTGGCATTTTCCTGGATTCATTTGCAGGGTCTTTGTGGTAGGTAAATTTGTTTCTGGCAAAATCATCTGTGGTGCTGCACTTCCTTCAACGTGTTCCCTTTGTTCTTTCAGATAAAAAAGGAAAGGTTTGAATAAGTCTGAAAATATTTTTCTATCTTACTGCTCTCTGAATGAGCACCAGAAGTGTAAACTGACAATTTTATTTCCTATAAGTCAAATTTCTTGGGATATTTGTCAGTCCTTATCCTCTCTTCTCCACTCCTGTGTAGGCAAATTAATTTTGGAAAGGGTAAACAGCGGCTGCAGCGCAGACCTGCTGCGAGTCTTCCAGCAGAGATGCCAAAGCAGGGCCAGTGCTTGCTCACGCCCTCGCCTCCCTTCACTTTATTTGTGGTACAGCCTGCTCCCCCAAACTTCTTAGTTAGTTAACAGTACCATTCCAATTTCTGAAAAAGCAGCACATGAAATAGCTATTCACTCCCGATTTTGAATAATGAGATTTTAAAAGATTTTAAAGTTCTGTGTACTTATGAAACATGTAACTTTAGTCATTTACTCCTTACTGATCCAGAATAAGCCCATAGATATACATGCTTTTGTTTCATATCCATTTCAGTCTGTGTCCTTTCACCAAAAATTGTCTTTCAGAAATAAAAGCCATCCACGAGTATGCACTGATGACAGGCACTTTGTCTGCCAGACGTGCAGTCTGAACACTAACAGCGTATCGTCTTTCAACAGAAAAGTCACAGAACTGATGTTCCAATTTTTTCTGATTACATCTCTCTAACAGTCACAAAAAGGGGAACATAATGGTGCGCACAAAAAGAGGATTACTTTTGGTGAACAATGGCTGAATATTAGTGCTTCGATCATAAATTCCTGAAAATATAAATCTTGAATCTTTCTGACTTTTAATTGTAAATTGCAACTCTTTCATGAAACAGAGCATCGATGATAACTTTCTGATGCAAGTGGTGGAGGAACCAACAAGGAAAGGTGCACTGCTGGACCTCGTGTTAACAAACAAGGAGGGACTGGTGGTGGATGTGAAGGTTGGAGGTGGACTCGGCTGCAGTGACCATGAAATGGTCGAGTTCAGGATCCTGCGTGGAGGAAGCAGGGCGATAAGCAGGATCAAAACCCTGGACCTCAGGAGGGCTGACTTTGCCCTCTTCAAGGAGCTACTGGGAGGAATCCCGTGGGCCAGGGCTCTCGAAGGAAGGGGGGTCCATGAGTGCTGGTCGCTCTTTAAACAACACTTCTTCCATGCACAGGAGCAATGCATCCCCCTGAGAAAGAAATCGAGCAAAGGAGGCAGGAGACCTGCATGGTTAAATAAGGAGCTTCTAGCGGAGATCAGGCAGAAGAGAAAGGTCCATGGAATGTGGAAAGACGGACAGGCCACTTGGGAAGAGTACAGAAACGTGGTGAGAGCATGCAGGGATGCAACGAGGAAGGCCAAGGCTCACCTGGAATTGAAGCGGGCAAGGGATGTCAAAAACAACAAGAAGGGCTTCTTCAACTACATCAGCAGCAAAAGGAAGGCTAGGGACAACGTGGGGCCGCTGCTGAATGAGGCGGGTGTCCTGGTGACGGAGGATGCGGAGAAGGCAGAGATAATGAATGCCTTCTTTGCTTCAGTCTTCAGTGCTAAGACTGGCCCTCAGGA